GAGAGAGAGAGAGAGAGAGAGAGAGAGAGAGAGAGAGAGAGACAGAGAGAGACCGCACGCACCCGTCCCATCCTAGTGTTTTCATTTGGAGCTGATACACATCCGGGTTGAGCCCACGCCCGCCGTCAGCCCCGGCTCACATGGGCCCCATCCCCTCCCCTGCTCCCTTTTGCCAAAACACAAAGGGTCGTTCCACCCACATAAACAAAACGGCTATCCCTCCTCTAAAAAGAGCAGAGGCGGCGGCGGCAGCTAGCGATCCATCCGCGGCACGCGCCCGGCCGCGTGGCTCGGCGCAGCGCAGCTCGGCGGCGAGAGGAAGGTATATTGGGCACTTTGACGGGGCCGCCCGCGGCGCGCACCCCCGGCGGCACCCTGGCCTTGGCAGCCACGCCCCGCCACGCCCCACCACGCCTTCAACAGCGAAGGCACTCAAGACTCGCTTTGCGAAAACGACAAAAAAATATCGTGGGAATGCCCCGGGAAATTCGGACGGCGAGACGTCACGTAATAATAACAAAAAATATATCAGCGTTCGTATATTGTGACCGAGATTTATGACGGTCAAGTGAAGGTTTTACTTATTTCTTTTAGTTAATCCTAAAGATATTCAATGCAGCAGGTGGAATGGAATAAGTCACCCGTGGCACTCATTCTCCTGCCCCCCTTTCCACCAAGCTTTCAATTTTATGCGCCCTCTCCACCCCCTACCACACACTTTCGCTTCACTCTCCCTTTCTCAGTGTGTGGTCACTTTCTGCACTGCTCCCGCTGCCACCACCGCTCCATTTTTCTTTATCTCTTTTCTTTCTTTTTTTTTATCGCCCGCCTTTATGATCTGCAGCCAATAGCTGCTTGGCGTATGGTCAAGCAGCTTCACATACTTATACTTGTTTTTTTTTTTCGGTCCCTTCTTCCTTTTGCTCCCTATTTTTATGTTTCACTTTCCTCCCAGCAGGAGAGCGGCATGGCACTCGCAGGGGGAGCAGCAGCAGCAGGGGCTGGAAGCAGAGGATTGGTCTCGGGGCTGTGAGCCTCGGTGAGGGCTTTTGGTGAGCCTCCGGTGAGGGCCTCGGTGAGCCTCGCGCGGAGAGAGCCTCTCTGCTGCGACTCCCGAACATAAGCGGGAGACTAACGGAAAATATGTACACCGCCCTGTGCAACGCCCCCATCTCCCCCGCGGACGGAGGAACACTTACTGGCTGCTCCGCGGAGGCAATTACAATAAAACGCCGACAAATTCTTTTATCTGCCCTCTAAACGGCCGCGCACCGTGAATTTAAATTCTCCCGCGCTTCCCCATTTCCCGGCGGGCCCATTCCGGGACTCGGGCGAGACGCGGCGGTCAGACGGTCAGATCGTTACACCGCCGGACCCAATCGGCGCGCGGCCCGCGCGCGGGCATCGCGATGGCCCTAACCGACCCCCCCCCTACTGCTCCCCCTGGCGCCTGTCGCCCGTCTCAGTAGATGCCCTCCTCCGATCCCCGACAGAAATGTCTCTGAGGAGAATGATGGCGGCGAAAAACGAACGTCTACGCGTTATAAACAAAGATTTGTACAAAGCTGAAGTCACCACGCACCACATTACTCTCCAGGTGATCGTAAAGGTCAGAGGTCGCAGGACCAATTCGCGGTGGTCTTCTGGACTCTAATTAAGATTAATTAGGCCCTCTTTGCTCCGCTTGCGCCTTCCTGGTTGGTACTACTTCGCTGCTGCGGACTCGCCGTGGCAGCCGCCTGCGCATCTCGGATAGGCCAGCCCGCCCGACGCCGCTGCGTCGCCGACCGTTGGCTGGCCTACCTCCCAGGCGCGCTGACTGTGTGAGTCATCGCTGCACACCGGTGGAGGGAGGCGGCGACATCCGCTTCCTTTTCACCGAAAGTGACACATGGGAGACCGGCCGCCGCAGCCGCAGCCCTCTTGCAAGGGATATGATATGTTGCACACATTGCCGTCCCGCCCCGCCCCACCACGCACCGCCCCGCCCCACCACCACGACGAGCCCCGCCTAGAGCGCCATGATCCCGCCCGGCCCCCCACTGCGGTTGCCTCAGTATTTACTCTGCCTGCCATATTTTTCTCGGAGGCTTCAAGAGCAACAAAAAAAAGGAGAGGGAAGAAAGGGAGAACGAAAAAAGTTTCTGG